GTCAGACACTGGAATAAGCTGCCTAGGGAGGTGATTGAGTCGCCATCCCTGGATGTGCTTAAGTGTTGCTTAATGGTTTAGGGGTGACCTTGTAGTGTAGGATCAATGGTTGGACTTGATGATCCCAAGGGTCTTTTCCAACCTGAACTGTTCTACAATTCTGTGATTCTAAGTTAAACCTGCTTATCTGCAGAGGAATGAGAGTCTTATTTTAGTAATAGCTGAATCACGAGAGAAGGCCATCACAGTTGTTCACCAGCAGACCACACGTGAGGAGTGCTCCCATTCTCAGTTAATCCACAAGTGCAATTAAACTGAATTCATTTACAAAAATGAAAAGTCTCACAAATTTACAAGTTCTGGTATCAGTTGAGAAAAGCAATTGCTACATTCCACCCAGCACTTTATAATAATGATCTGGATTGTACATACACGCAGTCAGATCTGAGCTCTGGTCAACCAAAGTCATCTCAGCCTCCCATTGGCTACCAGCCAACTTCATACACCTAGGCTGGTGGGCTAGACCCAAACTAGATGGAAACTGTAAGAGGTTTTAGAAGTTTCTCTGAAACCTGCCTGGCAATCGCTGTGAGGGGAGGCATCCCAGACCAGGGACAATGCACCTGCCACACCACATACCAACGTGACCAAGTTGCTTCCTGCAGGAGAGGAGGATCCTTTTAATTCAAAGTACTGAAAGTACACAGGAGACTCACAGTAAATGGTAAATGTGAGTAAACATATAGTAAATGTGACTTTTAATAATCTCTTCTACCAGCACTGGACAACATGGAGCTTCTGAGGCTCCTCTCAAGCCCTGGACACAAGCATTTGCCTTTACATCCATCACATCTCGAGGCACAGATGAGCACACAAGCTCAGAACTGGCCTGGTAACCCCCGACCAGTAACTGTGGCTCCTGGCACACGCCAAACAAGTAACTCACGTGCGGCTTCTCTAACTGGGCTACAGCACAATCACCAGCACTTTTGGGTGCTCCTGAGCCCCTGGATAACCTGCCTCCTCCTGCTGTGCAGCAGAGAAAGGCAGCCTGTTGGGACAGACCAGTACTTTGCTCTATATACACTAAGATTTAAAAAAAACCAACCCAACAGTTGAATTCTTTTACATGCAAGAGAAATTCAGCCTTGGCTTCTGTTGTGCCCCCTATGAACTGTGCACCTTACCTGCTTATCACTTCTAACAGCTCCTGAAACTTTTTAGACCTTGCAGTGACATGACAAACTTGAAAGAGTACATCTATGATCACTGGAGGAACTGAAAAAATAAAAAGAACCAATACAAAGATAAAAGACAAAAGAGCTCCTTACTTCTGAAAAGTTAATACTGGGTCACCGTACAGATTTTACTAGAACTGCCATCCTTCTGTGAAGTTATGACTGAGTCTAATTGGCACAGGAAGGGCACATGCTCTGATTCTTCCAGGTTAAGGCACGTAAAAGAAAAAGATCTATTAACAATCTTGCTGCTTATCAAAATCCAGTACACGATATATGGAGGTTTTGCTCTATATTTCTGTCCAACACATTGGTTTGATCCCGTTACAAGAAACTGCGATGGACTGTTCTGGATGAAATCAACCCCCAATCAAAGCAGTGAAGAAAATCCGTAACAATCGCCGCTGCCAGACCGCGAGCACCGGAGGGCACGGCCCTGTCTGAGCAGTTGGAATAAGGAAAAGAGTCCCCAGATCCATGTCCTGCTCAAGGGATCTGACAAAGCAACCTACACAGCATCTGAGCTGAACAGAACCATGCTCAAGTCCCATCAGATTTTTCCTATCTTATTTTTTTCCTTCACCCTCTCACCTCCAAAAATTGTTTTGGTTTCAAAATCGTTTTAATACTGACCCTCACTCCCAAGGTTTAAACGCTGGACAACTCTACAACACTCGGCTTGTAACTAAAACAGTGAGTTCAGATGACGCAAAGATACTTTTAACAACCAACCACCACCAAAAAAAAAAAAACCCCAACAACAGCCACCCAGCACTATGCACAGTACACTTGAGTCCAATTTGATTTTTAAATCATTCCTGGACCTGCTTTTCCTACCCACAGCAAAGATTTTTGAGAAAATGAGCTCATTGCTGTAGAATTAATAATAGATCTATCCAGATTGAAATTCCCAGGAGATAAAGGGAAAGGGAAAAATATTAAAAACTGATGCTCCTGGCAAATGAAAAACTAATGGAGCATATTTTCCCAAAGGGATGGGAGGCGCTTTCATTTTATTTCACTTTGATGACTATGTGAGACCTGCTGTAATAGGTAACTCTCAGGGAGCATCATCTCCAGATAGATGGAAACACCTTGAAAATTTTGTAGATAATGCAGAGGAGAATGTAAAGTCATCACATATCAAATCTGAAGAGCACTGAGTGATCGTGACACTGTAGCAGAATGTAGCTCTATTTATTATTTATCTGAAATTCAGGAGAATTCTGCAGAATTTCAACCTGGAGTTTCTGCCTATCTATGGCAGGAACAGCAGGGATTCAAACTGGAACCAAAGTCACTGTCAACTAGGAACACGTTTTTTTCAAAGATAATCTGTATCAGCACCTGGAGTTCAACAAGACCAAGTGCTAGGTCCTGCCCTTGGGTCACAACCACCCCAGGGAACACTACAGGCTTGGGGAAGAGTGGCTGGCAAGCTGCCCAGTGGAAAAGGACCTGGAGGTGCTGGTCAACAGCCACCTGAACACGAGCTAGCAGTGTGCCCAGGGTAGCCAAGAAGGCCAAAGGCATCCTGGCTTGTATCAGGAATAGTGGGGGGCCTGAATCAGGAGTAGGGATTGTCCCTCAGTACTTGGCACTGGTGAGGCCACACCTTGAGTCCTGGGTTCAGTTTTGGGCACCTCACTACGAGAGATATTGAGGTGCTGGAGTGTGTCCAACGTGAAGCTGGCGGAAGGTCTGGAGAACAAGAACTGTGAGGAGCAGCTGAAGGAACTGGGATTGTTTAGGCTGGAGAACAGGAAGCTGAGGGACCTTATCGTGCTCTACAACAACCTGAAAGGAGGGTGTAGCAAAGTGGGGATCAGTCTCCCCAGTAATAAGAGACAGAAGAGATGGGCTCAAGTTGCACCATGAGAGGTTTAGGAAAAAATTCCTCACAGAAAGAGTTAAGTACTGGAACAGACTGCCCAGGGAAGCGGCTGAGACCCCATCCCTGGAACGTTAAAAGACATGTAGATTGGTGCTCAGGGACAGCGTTTAGTGGTGGACCTGGCAGTGCTGGGTTAACAGTTGGGCTTGATGATCTTAAAGGTCTTTTCCAAACTTAAAATATTTTTCATAGAATCATGGAATTGTTACCTTCAAATTCCTTTTAAGAGTTTCAAAAACTCCAATGAAACAGCTGAAGATTTCACTGTTGGTGACATCCTTGAAGACACTCAAGGTACCTCACATTATTTATAAATATTTACAAGCCAAACTCGTGATTAACTGCATTTTCAAAACCACATAGAAGATTAATTCTTAAATTATTTAAAAATCAAACCTGATTTGCATTATTTAATATTTATTGATAGAAAACATAATTTATAACAAACCATTTGTAACAAACAAAACAATTTACACTGGAGAAAGATCTTTTTAAGATCAATTGAAACAACGTGCCCTAAACCTGGGGCATATTTCCAGTTGGATCCAGTTGCAGTGTTCTTTGGAACTCCTTTGCATTACATGACCTCCAATTTGCAGACAAAGTTACGGGGAAGAGGTCTTCAAGAACATGCTTCTTGCTTTTGGTCTAATTTATAAGAAGAACAGAAATTAGTTCAAATTAACACAGTTACTGTGCCATAATATTAGGGAGTTACTAAACGGTAGAGTGGAACAACTGCAAATTGTACTCACAGCAGCAAGGACATTAGAGCATTCACCTACTCCAGTGGCAAATCAATAAAATGTAAGTATCATTTCAATTACGCTCAAAAGAGCACATTAGTCTAATTTAATTTAACTAACAGTGTCTCGAACAAATGTGTTCCTCTGCGCAAAGTCGAGAGTTGTCAAAGCCACACTGATACTTGGTTCTTCATCTATTTTCTTGTGCTCTCTAATGTGGAACATTGTATTTTGTGCAGGACCAAGAGGCCTCCGTAGTCAATGTGCGCATTAAGTGAGCTTGGTCAGGTCTCAGCTCTGTCTCCAAGGAACGTATGAAGGTGATCCTGAAGAGCCACCCAGCTCTTCTAGTTTATCCAGTCCAGGCTCCTCCTCTCACACCACAGAAACATCAAAAATCAGGAAGAGTATTTTCTCCTGGCATTTACCAGGAAAGTGAGGCAGCGACAGGATGCAAGGGGCCATGTTCACCCACACCCGCGGCAACGGGCACACACCGCCACGTTGGATCTCTTGTGCCAAAACCAGCTGGTGCCAAACAGCACTCCCACTGGCAAGAGGAATGGAGCTCCAGGAGCAGGTGAATACCTGGACTAGCCCGCTGGTACAGAATTCAGGTACAGTGTGATGCTGATGCAATGGCAAAGCCATAGCGAGAACATGCCAAGGCAAAGGAAGTCGGCAACACGCAGAGGTGGTGCTACAAGAGGGGCAAGAAGCACGGCGCTGTGATGGCCAGGGAGAATGGTGCCGGGACGTACTCTTCTGACGCTGCAGGGCCAGCCTCAACAGATGGAATGAGGCTCAAGGGCAACCAGGCAGGCGTGAAGCAGGCTCAGTTCTGCTTTTGCAGTCTGGAAAACAACAGATGATGATGACAACAAACACCTTGTCAGTGATATCATAAGCTGACCTTCTTGGGATTAAAAACACACAGAAGTCTTTCAAAGAATGGGGGCCAAAAGGAAGATTTCCAACACTTCTCTGAGCAAAGTACAAGAACACCTCTGAAATAACGCAAGTAACTGGAACCGAGTTAGAAAAATGGCACAACCTTCACAAGCAGCACCAAGACAAAAAAAGAAACCTCTGGTAAGGGAAACAGATTTTTTTAAAAAGGCAAGAACCTAGTTTAGGGAGCAAGACAAAAAAATGAAGGAGCAGACTGAAACTTGACATAGCAGCTGAGCTGAAACCGTGGCAGATGAACATCTCAACCTACAGCCTGCTCCAAGGGGAAGGGGGAGGGGGGGGGAGCAGAAAAAAACCACATCTTTGACAGACACTTCACAGAGACAACCACCAACTCACATAGCAGGGCACCATGCATCACACCGGCAGCATGTGCACATGGAATTTCATTGAGGAAACTACTATCAACACTTTTTTTTTTTTATACATGAGGAGACCTCCTTCTTGTAATTTCTGAAATAGTTCAAGGTGCAGAGAAGTGCAATAAAAAAAAAAAAAGGTGGATATTTAAGCAAATTATTACTAATACAGTTGTCTCTTTTTTTTTCCATCCAGAAACACGAGTATGTCACATACAGTGTGGGTGCAGGATGGAAGCGACAGAACCCATTTCATTACAAGGTGATAACTTCCGTGAATCTATGTGGGGTTAGCAACTGAAAAAAATGAAGCTATTCCAAATTCTCATAATTCACACAATGTTATTTGTGTGGAATATTTAACAGGATGCCAAGATGGGACTCAGGATGCCACAAAACGACGAGGTATATCAAGCAAACATTTAGTTACTTTGTCTTTAAAACACAGCTTAGCTTTTCTACTCGCAAAAACACTGTCCAAGTCTGGCAGTGGAGTTCTACTTTATTCCTGCAGCGACCTCTGTGTTTTAGCTATGAATTACTCTCAGAGTACACAGTAAAGCTTAGCTGCTCAACAGGCAAATGCCTGCTTCTACTAATATGAAAAAAATCAGCTGTAATAAAAGCCAGCGAGCGTTTGCTGGATGCAAAAAGGCCTCTGCAATTATCACTTAATTGTCCTTCATGGGCCAATACTGGGAATATCATACTTTCCCCTTAAGGTTGTTCCCTCCTTCAGCACTTTTTCTTAACTGGCTACTTAATTAGTCTTCCTTCCTGGGCTTAATTGTAAATTTGTTTTGATTAATTAGCCTCAGAGCTGACTTGGCACTAACTGAAATAAAGGAGAAGTGCCTAGTTTCCTCAGTGTATAGGCCACTGCATCCTAGGGGAGGCCCTTCTGTCAGCAATAAAACTCCCAAGTTCAGATTGTGTTTGAAAAAGAATAATTCTTCATAATTAACACTCATTTCTTGCAATTGCCCCCTCTATACTACAAAAGTGATGATAACATAAAGAAAGGATAAAATTCAGTACATTCAGGCCTCTTGTTCAGTGGATTATACATCATGCTCATTAGCTGAATCCTGCAGTTTTAGATAAGATGACTTAAAGCTCTTAAACACAAGTGATCATAGCACTGCTAGAATCCCCAGCACAGAGTGGAGGTCACGAGAACAGGCGGCTGTGCTCTTACGGCACTGACACTGGATTTTCCTTACCAGTTGCAAGTCACCTTTTGCTCTTTCAAAAGTTAACGAATTTCATCAAAAACCCTTTGCACAACCTAGAAAACCCAGTCTGCACCACCTTTGGACGTTATGGTTACAACCCTCATATCCCTCCTCTCCCTCTTTCTGGTGCGCTGATTCCAGAATGCATCTGTCATCTTGATCAATTCTCATTTCAGATGCTGTTACTGCAAACACAGGAGAAAGCAACTTCAAACGCCATGACCGTAAAAAAACGTAATAAGCTAAACAGTGTGTATTAACAGATATTAATAAACTACCTAGGTAGTTGTCGTAAGTACTGCAATTCTTCAGTTTTCAAATTTAAAGATCCTTACCTATCAAGCTGCAAAGAGAAGTTAAAAATCTTACTCGGGACATCAATATGTTCTTCTGTGAACTCTTGTAGGTTTGCATCTGAACTGGACAGAGAAATTAGGCACTCTGTTTCTTTCAGGTCCTCGTTTCAATTATTGCTCCTCTTTTTCTCCAGACAAGGAAAGATTGCAGAAGAAGCATAAAGTAAATGTGGTTTTACGTTTTGCGTGTGCCTTTACTTGGGCACTGGAGTTTAAATGAAGCAAACCCAAACAGGAGCTTTGGGGGTGGGCTGAAGAACCCAGAGCAGCTCTGCAGGCACTCCTGCTGACACACTTCTTCCCTAATAATCTGCAGCCCACTTGTTTGACTGATGATCAACCACTTTTCATCTTGGAACTGGACCACGGGAATCACTTTGATTGTCAAATTCTTCATGAAGCTTTTCCGTGTAACCCAAGAAACATTCGGCTTCGAGATCTCCTCTGTTTGTGAACATCCATGAAGTGACAGAATGTTCTGAAGATGAAACGTACCAGACTAAGATCCTCAGTTATGGCAGCTGTCAATACCACTAAAGACGTATGCTCCATATATTATCAGCAATCAGTCAACACTTAAAGTAAATCCTGTACTACAAAAGACATCACGCAACTGAGTCTGTACATCAGTAGAAATGTAAGAAATATTTCTTCATGCTGAAATGCCTTTCCACCTATTAAGAGGAAAAAGCTCTTTAAAATCATCTGCAGATAACCAATGCAGCTGTGTACTTGAAAAAGAAATGAAACTCTGTATGTGCCTCAACAGTTTGTTTTACTGGTGCTGTTTATTTTTTTTTTTCTGTAATTAATCAGCCCACATTCTCCTATTTTTTGTTTACAATGTTGTACAAATAGAGATGTCCACACATATTTGACAGTTCTTCAGTTGCTATTCAGCTGCTTTAAACTAGAAAAAACTTTAGTAAACAGCAACAGCTTTCTAACCACCAAAGCTACAAAAGGTAGGTTTTCAACAGAACACATTAACCAGTAATTTTTTTAAATTGAGCCAAAGCCTTCAAAAACCTGACTTTTTATTGTGATGGAATGTTGACAGTTAGGTTCCTTACTTTAAGCCTCCAGTTCTTACCAAAGTACAGATTAACCTGAGTTGGATTAAACAAATGTTTTCATTTCCAGCGCTCTCAATTACTGTTGACAGAAAACAATGCATTAATACACTAAATCAGTGACATGCTCCAGGAACAGTACATTTATCACAGTGCAACAGAAATGGCCATGTCTCTCTCCCGATGACGATCCCAACTCCACTCCACAGCAGGGAATGCTGGCTCACTGCCTTTGGCCCAGCTTAGTACAAACCTGGCTCAGATCTCTAGGTGATGTTCTGTACACTAGCTTAAGTAAAATGTGCCATTTGAGCTGAATATATATGCCATTACACTCTATGAAATAACAGTTTTAATGGCTACAAGGGGCAAATAACATTACAGAAACCTTAAGAATATATACACTTTTAACCTACAGACTGCAACATGCTCTGTACAGGCAGCAGCATTTCACCAAATCTAAATAATTTCGCCCCATACGTACTGAAACCACCATAATAGTCGGTGGAAGTTAGATTACTCAACAGAGTAAAAATACAGTGGTTAAAAAAGAATCTCACATATGCAAGGAAGAAGAATGGCTAACTTCTTGCATTTCAGAGACAGGTTTTTCCTTTCCATTTGGAAAAAGGAAAAATCAGGCCACTAAAGGTTACCCACAACTACTAGCAGCCTGATGTACACAGAAACATAGGAAGTGAGAGCCAATGCAAGCTCAGGTAGAAGCGAAACATCAGCTGCTTCTTCTCACTAACGGCTGATGCTTGTTTGCCCCGCTGCGCAACTCCGCACCCACAGGAGTCCTGTAACTCAGAAAACTCTCCTATGCCTTCTCACACTAAATTCAGGGTAACGATGCAAAAGCAAGTTTTTTACAGCTGTCAAGCTGAAGAAGATAAAAATTACAATGTACACAATTAAAGAGTGAACAACCTAGCTCAACTCAACTCCTGCTGTGCACTGATGTTTTATACAACAACTTCGAGCAAGTGGCTGCAACTAGTTCAACATATATGCTAACAGAATGAACTTAGCAAGGTTCTCTGTCAAGTCCTGATGTTAATGGAAACTGATCTCCTTGCCACAGAATTCAACTGAATTTAACTTCATCTGTAATGCACTCTTCTTCCTCCCTTTCGAGAACCAAACTGCTCAATATAGATGCCAGCCAAGAACAAGCAGCTGTGCTTGAAGCCCCATCTAGTGATAAATAGCAGAACTGTTGCAAAACTAAAGCAACATCCTAGATGTATCACCATCCTGGGCACAATTGATTTTGCTAGTTAAACACAAATAAAACCAAACATTTTGAGATGCCTCCAACTATAAAAGTGTTCTCTGCAAACTACACAGGACACTTCTCCCAAGAAACTGAATAGCCAGGAAACAACAAAACCATCCTGCATAAAACATAACATACTTCACCAAATCCACCCTGTTCTGTTGACATTCCGTGCCACAGCATCAGAAAAACATAAACTGGCGTTCATGGCGTTCTGCCCTCCAGCCTGCACTTGAAGATTCACCACCTCCCAGCCTTTGTCAGGAACAGGTTTGCACAGATGTTGCTTCTGCTTAAGAAAACATCCTGAAGCACCTATTTCTCATCATTTACTCATGACCTCCCCAAAAAAACCACTTGAAATCTTGCTGCCAATTCACAGCACAGTGCAGTGGGGAAAGACAGATAAAACAACGGCAACTTATTGCTTCGCAGCTGAACTCACCAAACCAGGACACACTGTGGAAAGCAGCAGGCTGCCTTGAGCTCCCTCACGATGCATATCCACACATTCCTTTAGGATCACTAGCTCCACAGTCCATACATGTTGACTAATCCATTAACAAAGCCGTGCTTCTGCCACTCAATTGGCAGACAGGTAACAGAAGAAAACTTGCAGGGTATCTTCCTTTGAACTCCCTGGCCTTTAACACCATTGAAAAGTGTCTTGTTCTGACTGTCAGTGAGAAACAATGAGCTGCTGGCCTCAAGGCCCACCACACCTATGCCACGCCCACTAAGAAACAAACTTGGGCAAAGGAACAGGGGACCTTTGGTCTAATGCTAGCCCTGTATTATCTTCCAAGTAGCAAATTTCCAGACCTCTGCAAGCCTGAGGAGCTGAAAGACTTAAAAACCAAACCTTTTAGGGCGTGGGATCCCCTCAACAAGTAGAGGCATCATGTGTGCCAATCTGGTAGCTGGTATGGCTCCAACACAGAAGGGACAAGAGGTGAGTCTTGCTGACCTTGAAGAGACTCACCTAAGCTCAAAATTCAGAAAAGCTACCTACATCAAATTATTGTCAACTGTAACTAAATAACTTCTTTTTTTATTTTAACTCTTAAACTGCTTACCAAAATTGAAACCAGAGAAAGAAGAAAAAAGGTCCTTCTGTGCAGTCTGAACTTCGATAGCAAATTGTTCGTATCGAGACAGAGGAAGAACTGAATGGCAAGAGGCACGCTCCTCTGCTTCATCTACTCAGAATCAAGCATGAATGCAAATATGCCACATAGCTTCTTCTAAAGTCAATATATGCAGCGATCGTAGGAACTACTGCTTGAAAGATAACAATAAAGAAATATATTATCTCAAATTCTACGTTCTACCTTAATGTATACTCTCAATTTAGAATAAGTATGACAGCCATGTCTGTTTATGAGATCAATGCTCAAACCTCAAATCCTTAAAAGTTTAGGATTCAATTCAATTTTCCTTATCTCCTTTTCTTCTAGAACAACAGTGACCATGGAGAGAAAGCCCCCTACCAGAATAGCTGTAGTTTATCCTTAACTTCAGCCAGAAAGAACCTTGAAGAGCTTGGGAGACAAATGCTATGTACACCATCTGCTGTCTAGACTTGGCTTCTGGAGTATACAGTATAATTACAGTTTTTCCCAGAGGTCCTCATTATTATCCAGGAACACAGGAAGCAAAACAAAAGGAGATAGCAATGTAATACATTTGGCAATGACTTATTGCTGTCACACAAAATAAAGTTGTCCACAACATTCAGAGCTGATCAAGTCTTAGTTTCCTTCCATATAAAAGATACATCCAATAAGTTCCTACTTAAGAACTCTCATTTTTCAATTCAAATTTGAGGCAGTAATCACACATCTGCTAGACAAGGAAGAAACTGTCATTAACATATTAGAAGGAGGCTGGACCCCAGCACACAGGCATTGCAGCAGTCCATTTCCTAGACAACAATTACTGGAATGTGAACAGCATAGTCCTTTATTTAAATAGAGATTATTGTGAGCAGTTTGTACCAGTCTGAAGTTAAGACTGCCACGTTAGCTGAAGTTTCAAGTGCTAAGCACCTTCAGGGTAATTAGGCACATAAATAAGATTTGGAACAACAATGTGTTTTACCCACAAATTTTTTGTGTCCATCTTTCTGTCTTTGGGTGACACAAGAACAGTAACTGACGCAGAGTGAGGCCCTTCAGAATGTCACGTCAGTTTGACACCAGACCACTGAGGTTCTGCTTTTGCTCTTAACTCTTCGTAAGTTGATTTCAGCTGCTCTGTTAAGTTGGGCACAAACACTTGAATGTAAAATGAACTTCAAAATATACAACAGTAACGTGTTTCAGTAAACTTTTGAGGAGAAAGTTCTTGAACCCTCTTTTTTGAGTTGTGTGAAGAGAAGAACACTTTCTTTGTTCAGAAGATTACGTATGTTATATCCATTTCCTACAAATAAAAACACAAAGTTTTCTTTAGAAGCCGACAGCATTTTCTGAAGTCCAGTCCTGTCTTCAGCCAAGCGTATTTTTATTTATTTCATGTATTTTAACAGAATGAGTATTGGCCTCTAGTCTAGGATGCCGCTCTTACAGGCACATCATTGCATTTCAAAGCAATACAGCTAGTGTCATTTATTTTAACCTATGGTAGGAATAAAGTGCATTTTTGGCGAGAAAATTTTTACACAAAGAATGTATCAGGCTTGAGCTCTCAGCTCTCAAAACCCACAAGGAAATTTTAAGGTGACTGAATTTAATTTACTCCTATAGAAAATCTCAATAAAAACTGCATATGGAAACTTATCTGCAGATCTTCACTTGGGATTTGCACACTAACATGATCACAAATACAGAAATATCTCAAAGGCACTGAATACCAGGAACGAGCAACATTCATACACAGCCACACGTGATGAATTACTAAAAGATCACCTGCCACAACCACCGCGTTAACCATCCAGGCATATCGAGACAGACCAGAAATAAGGAAGGAAGAATGGAAATGTAGTATAAATCCTTATGGCCATATGATCTTTTGGCAGCCTGCATAACCTGCTTTCTCTAAACTTTTAAAACGAACATCCAAGAAGAACACTTGAAAGCATCAGGCATTAATTGAACAATGGTTGTTCTATCAGGACACTATGGTGAAAAGTTCACAGAAGTGGTAGCTTGCGATTTCCCAACGTAGCCTCTCGACAAGAAAGCTCTACAAAAGCTCCTGACAGCTTCATGAGCAGTCTGTTTTTTAATGACCACAAACTCCCCTGACTAGTGGTCTTATATGCTGAAGGGCAGCTTCTATATGGAATTCATTCCACGTATCTCTAAAGGGCTAAAGCAGAGGTGTTTAAACTCTTAACAATGCACATGAAGTTATAACCCATTCAGCAAGACATTCTGCACATTCTCTACATCAAGCTCAAACCGGACAATATGGTGAACTGATCTGAATTGACCTTCATAATTTTACATGTACAAATCTGCCAATTGTTTTGATGACCAAAATAATTCTATAAGCTACAATCACATTAAGCTGTCTGCAAAGTTTCCCCAACATTTTATCTATGAGCAGAACCAGAATACCAAGAGAAATTCACTCTTAGAACTTAGCAGGGTCCTTAAAAGCTCTGAGGTCAACTCACATAAACAAGAAGAGTTTCCACCACTGCATTCAAAGATTAGATCATCAACTCGCATCCAGTTGCTGGGTCACATTCCTTTCTTCATAACCCTATACTTTCCCATTGTCTACTCAAACTTCTCTCTTTCCACTATTCAACTTGGTTTTGTTTTCTAGCATGTTAATTCAGTCTCATCCATCTCCAACGAATTTGTGTGAAACGTGTACTTACCTTCTGGAACATAGAAGAAATCCCCTGTAGTCAGGCAATATGATGTCTTATGTAAAGTAACAATAACTTTGCCGTGGATAACATAGAAAGCCTTAATGAAAGCCAAAGGTTTCCAAGATTAGCAATATTTCCTTGGCAAACATTTAACAAAGTTATCCAAGAAAACATACTCTTTGCATGCACATTGTAATAAATACCAAAACTCAAATAAGCCAGCAGAGCTGCAATCTTTTCCCCAACCCTGCTGAAAAATAAGATGCATAATTTAAAAGGGGAGTGAGGGCAATTTTATTTGATGCTTCTACTTTGATCCTTCATATTGATACAAATCTGTATTTATTTGATACTTCTATCTTGCCTGCAAGACATTAAGCATACATGGACACAGATTTAATGTGAAGCAAAGCAGGGCAAGGTGCATGCAAAACACCTCTAGCAAGTTTCTTTGGCTATAACTGATTTCTCAACTGAAATGATTTGCTAATGTTTCCTGCGGTTATTTGCATTTTAGAGGTGAAAGATAACCAAGATCATCAACTTCACATACTACTGCTAACTATCTTAATATTTCCTGTTTACGCAGTCCATTTAATAAAAATAAGAAAGAAAAACATACTTACTACTGTATCCATGTGGACAAACTGGTGTCCTTTTTCTTTACGCGGTTTCAAAACCAATCTGCCCATGGCAAAAGCAGATGTATTCAAGTTTTTGTATATTTCTACCGCTTCATCTTTGAAGAAGCATGAGTGACTGCTTTCAGTGTTAATACATTCTACAAAGGAAGTCCAGGGGATTAACATTAATGGTAACACATAATTAGTCTTGTTACTTGCTCTGTAACTACTTATTAAATAGGTATTACAGATTGTTTCACTGCAACACCCCCAAGAGCTAGACTCAACATTTAGCTGAAAAATCAGGACACTTTTCATGTCTCCCTCGGAATTTCCTCCAGAAAGGCAAAGAATATTTCAACAGCTCACCTTTTTATGCCCAATGTGGCATGAACAATTTGTTTTTTTCTTCTCAGTCTAAATGCTATATAATTCAGAGAGGCCCTTGCCCACATCCCCTCAACTCACCTAGAAGTACCTCCTCATTTGTTACTGGATCTAGTACAGTGGCTGGTTTACTGGCATCAGCTAGGGTGTGACCCAGAGATTCAACTACCTCATTTCCTGAGAAGACAAAAACAACAAAATAATCTCAGAAAAATAATGACTCTGTATTTTAAAAGCTTAATTATTTTACACAACTTTTTTACAATTCCAGATTTCACACATAAGTACTTAAAATTTGCTTTATTAAGTGACTAAACAGACTGAATATACTTCCTTCAAATAAAATGGAAACCATCCATAACACTTCCTTGAAAATGTAATTTGCATTGCAATTATTTCTGTATGTAATAAAGGGTCTCTAAATCATTAAGAATTTTCAACTATTTATCCCACGCAATTAATGCAAGTATTTACTCAAAAGTATCTGCATTGTAAGAGAAGTGTTTTTCCAGCAACAGATGCTGAGAGGATATAAAATACGTGAAGTATGAAGAACGAGTTTTTTCCTTTTACCTACTGCTGATGGGTACCAGGAGACCTAAACAGATAAAGTGTTCAAAAGAATAAGCAACATGTTCAATTTCCCTCTTCTCAAGAAATACCATTACAGGAATCTCACCCCAAGTTGTAAATCAGAGAACTATTTCTATAGTAAAAAGGATTTTTTCAAAGGAGGAAACAGCCTAAGAGTTGATGACAACCTTACACTTTTCAAACAGAAAGATGCTGAAGAATGTTCACAACAGAATAAATGTCCCAAACCTCTCTTGCAGAACTCTTTCAAGCAGACAACTTTAGCTCCACAGCGCACAGAAAATTTCCTTAAATGCAGTCAGAACAAGAATATTAAAGGTAAGCTGCAGCAATTCATAGGCACTCGTGGCTGCTTAAATACATTTACGCCAAGACAAGTCAGGGGTAGGAAAAAGGGTAGGTTTGAAAAACCCAGCTCTCACTATCTTCCTTCCATATCTTCTAGTTCTTGTGCTTAAAACCAACCAAACAAACAAAAAAAAAACCCACAAAATAAAGCAAACTAGTTTATTTCTATTCCCCTTTTCCATGCCACTTTTGATTTTATAGGTCTTTCTCACACCTTCACAGTGCTCTATTCAGGGCTGTGAAGACTTCACCACACAGTTGTCCCCCGTACAGAAGTCCTTCCAGGTTTCTGACAAGCTTTCTCTGAGCCTTCTCTAGTCCTACTACTTTCTTTTTGAGATAAGGAATAAAATTTACAGGCAACATTCCAGAAAATCAGAAATTTGTACCAACATTGACTGTTTTCTTCCTTACTTCTCTAATGATTATTTCAGCCCTGATTTGTTTTAGAACTGTGTCAGGACCATATGGCATTTTCCATGTTTGTTGGCATTTCTTTTATTTGTTCTACAACTGCACATAGAAATGTTTCCATCTCAAATAACAGCTCCAGACAGTGCCCATAAAGAAAGGTTCTTTAGCATCAAAACATTTTCCACTGACAACAAAGCAAAAATAATCTGGCTTTTGGACTTGGACTCTATCTTCCTTTGCTGAGTATCACCTACATATTTATTATCTACTGGCCATAGAGGTTTTAGCAAAGCTTCTGTTTCTGTTTGGTTACACAAAGATGTATTGCCAACTTCTTGCCATTTTGTGCAGTGTTCTTAAAGCTCTCTCTTCACCTACCTTGTTGTGGTTTTGTATTTAACATACAATAGCTTACAAATTTATTGACACCATGCACTGCCTTTTCAGATGTGGCATTACAGGTATCAGTAGAATATTCAGAAGTTTTTATACTGCAACTGTGCGTTACAAAGCTAAATACATTAGCTTCATTAATCAACAAGATGAACAAGGACAGAAGTACAGCTTATTCTCCTCAACCCCTGCTTTAAAGGCAGCACAACAATTCTGGTCGTGTCCTGTCTCTTTTTCTTTCTAACGCTGAAAAGTTAAAGGTTTTACAACAAGATTATACAGCATTGCTATAGATACAATAAGAACATCCACAACAGATCACATTAACACATTTCATTATAAAATTATTTTCACCCAGATTGACAATTAAGTTTTAACAGGACACAAATCTTAGAGCAATAAAGTATGGAAGCTGGAGAGGGTGCATGAAGTGATAGGACAAGGGCTAATGGCTTTAAACTGAAAGAGGGTAGATTTAGATTAGATATTACAAAGAAACTCTTTTCTGTGAAGACAGTGAGACACCGGTACAGGTTGCCCAGAGAAGCTGTGGATGTCCCCTCTCTGGAAGTGTTCAAGACCAGGCTGGATGGGGTTTGGAGCAACGTGGTCTAGTGGGAGGTGTCCTTGTCCATGGCAGGAGGGGTTGGAAACAGAGGGTCTTTAAGGTCCCTTCCAACTCAAGCCATTCTATGATTACACATTATTTAATTTTGTTTTAACCATCAAAAGAAAAAAAAGTCTGTGTTCCTATTTGTTTTACCCGTTTCCTGCTTGTGATTACTCCTCCGTCTAACCTTCCTGTGAGGTTCTGTTTCTGGACTCAGTATCCCACTAACCACAAATCCTCCTGAAATAAAGAAAAGCGAAACGTAGTACACTACCTCAGGATAATTTTACAAGAATGCAGATTTGGACAACCAACAAGCATTTCAGTTAGGAATATATTTCCTTGATACTGAAAGCTTTTTAACATCAAGTATTTTAGAGTGTAATGTAACTTGAGACTTTTTGAAAATAATTTTAACGTATTTCAGTCAAAGAACATTTCAGAAAGCCATAATACGGAAGTTATTTTTAAGACAAAATACCAATTTTAAGAACACAAAGAAATACTTATTTCAAGCAGACTAATTAATTTGTAAAGGATCAAACTAGACTAAATTGTTAAATTCCTAAGAACAAGACACATTCCATCACTTAGGGAATTTAACACCAAGACTGGATAAAATATACCTGCTCCAGAGAAAAATTCCCCCCCCAAATAAATGAACCAATGAATGAACCAGTAGATTGTCTCTTTTCCTGGGATTTTACAGATTTTTACAAGTACACATAAACCATTTTGTTCTTCCCTAAGCATTTAAAGCAAGGCTACATAATGTGCTCTGCTGGTACTTCTGGATGACAAGAGCAACAAGAAAGAAAAACACTACATGGAAAACAAACTAAATAGCTGAAAATCATAAATAATCTACTTTTGTAAAAAAACTCCCAAGTAACAAGCATCTCAAAGCTTTCATGGCATACGATCAACCCACAGATTTCTCTTTACTGCCCTATCAGAAGAAAGCAAATAGGTATTCTGGAATTATTACCTGAAGGCCTCATGACATAATTCACACGCTCGCCTCGCCAATATTCTAGAGGTTTTAGTCGTATCCTTTTTGTCCGACGAACGTTTGGTGTGTTGGAAGGCATTACTAATTTAAAGGATGGAATAATTCAAATTAAGTATGAAAGGAAAATTCAGACAGGGAAAACATGAAATATTCTTTCTTACTGTTTTGCATCAAGAGGTCAGCACTTCCCAGCTGGTATTTATATTGCATTGCTATCACGACAGGCAAAGGGAATAGAGTATTGCCAAAAGCCTTCTTGTGCATACATTAGTATCTCACGCTCCTTTTTCTTACACAGTCATCATGCTCACTTTACATCAGATTTCATTCTATATATCTTAGCATTTCACTTAGGGGCTCAAGCAAAAGAAATAGCAAACATGCTAAAACTGTGAACACAAAGCTCTTGACAAGGAATAAAAACTCTGCCTAAATCTGAGGGATTTCACTAAAAAAAAATTTTAAAAAGTCTTCTTTGGTTATGGCAAGAGGAGAGAAACAGAGATTGCACAGGCAGCCCCTCCTCTTCCACATTCTTAAATCCCAACTCTAAGGTCCAGCAGAGCAGCATGTTTGCCAAAAGAAACCCCACACATTTCCAAGATTTTGCAGATATTTATCTTCAAACTTATTACATAGTCCCAACTTGCAATTTTTCTAAGGTGCCATACACAAGTACAGCAAAATCTGGTATTTTAGTGTTTGTATGAAAGAAAGGCCTCTTAAGAGTTAAGAGCAAATTAAGTCAAGAATATTTAAATGCTAGAAATAAAAACAGTACATAAAGAAAACATGCTGAAACAGTTTCTGTAGGTAGGCAACTAGAGTGTTGTGCACAAAGTAAGGGAATAGAAAACAATGAAACCAGACCAGTGTGGGACTCCAGTCAACTGCATGCCCATTGCTCCACCCTACCCAGACTCGGATCACCACAGAAGGCAGGTTATTTGCCCCTTCAGTTACACTGTGCAAAACTAATTCAGACTCCTCCTGTTCCCACTGAGCTGTAAGCAGTGTCTTAATATTTAATGAAAAATGGAAATGTGACAGTTAAAAAGATAATTGTTGAATACAGTAATAAAAAAGAAACATAAGTTTTCAAAAGTAACTTAAGAATTAGAGCGGCATTATAGTAACCTTCGGAAATAACAAACCTTATCTGTAAATACTTACATATGAACCCATTTCTAGGCATTTTCCTGTGTCGTCTTCAGCAAAGTTTACATCAAGCTGGAAATGCACCTGTACTTATGCACTACAATTAAGATACTTTAAAATAATCTTACCTATTTTATGCTTTGGTATGTTGTCTGACAATAGACTTCTTAATTCATCATTAAACTCTTCAGATTTATCTGAAAATACATTCAAAAAACCACCACTGTAGGCATTTACTATTCCTGACTTTTATTCAGTATACTCACTAGAAGCAACCAAAGGTAATAAAAACAGAAGTCCCAAAATTAGCATTCCCATTAACACTTTTTTCTTTAAAACTCAATATAGATAAACACTGTCTGTAATTACGTTTTAAACAGTCAAAGCCTGAAAATTACATGAAAACTATATATCCAAGTAAACATTCCTCAGACCCCATCCTTCTGATGAAATAAACATTGGCAAGTTACAACTACACACAGAATTTTATCAATCAAAATGCAAGGTCATTCAGCTTTATGCCACTCAAGTCTAACTTCAGAACAAACTTCTTGCCAGAGCATGCATAAAACTAGGTCTCTGAAGAAAGTATTGCACGAACTAGTTAACACTCACAACTAACCCTAAAAACACTTTCCATCCCTAGGGCTCATATTAGTTATGACAACAGCTGAAACTTGCGTAAGAAAACTTAAAAGAAAACCTAAACATTTTTAGGCAAACAGACCACAGCTCTGTAAGGCTGTACCCTACAGTCTAGGGTGGCCTGTAGGGATCAATATCTAGTGCCATCCCATAGCAAGGCAACACACCAAGCTGGTACAAACAGTCGAAAAATGTGGTAAAAGTATTTTTGAAGGATAATTTTTATCCTAGTAGGCTTGATGCCAAACCATGTCCTTTTCAAAGCTAACACGATGTAAAGCTGGCATACTGTATCGGACACTTGGGCAAAAACGTGACCACAGACAATAAAATCTCCATTTCTTATATTCAACAAGCTGAATACAACAGAAATTACTATACCATCAATTACAGCTTATAAAAAGCTTATACATAAAATGCAAGAAAATACCAGTTTTAAACATTACCTGAAGACATATTATCCTGCTTACGTGACTTACTTCTGGAAGCAAGCTCATCACCATATTCTATGACAGGCCCACTTCAAAGAAAAATACGCTTGCATGAATATGTTAAATGTCAAAGGAATATTACAGCACTACCAAGAAGAGAAAATTTAAGGGGTTTTTTTCAGATCATGAGGGGTGGGTTTTTTTCTTTCTGAACATTTGTCTGTCCTAAGCAAATGACTGCTAGGTAGGATTCACAGGTCTGAAACTCAGGAATTGCTCCTCCACTCAGTCATCAGGCAGGAATACTAGTGTTGATACCATCTCTATAAACAGGTTTCCTAAAACTCTTCTTTTTTTCTTTTTTCTCCCTTTCAGAAGAAACAGACCTCCTCTATTCTGCCACATTACCCTTCAAACAGATTTCCATAGACTATGATTACAGAAGTGCTTTAAAGAAACAGTTTTCATACTGTAAGTACAGAAAGGACAGTAAAATAGTTTGTAATTGTAAGCTGTGAGAAGTATTCTGTCACAAAAATCTCCCCCATAAAATAACAATTAACATATATGTAACTGCACCAGGGATTCCCTAGCAGTCAAATCACTTACAACAGGACTTCTCTCACAGACTTAGCACCCTGACCCTTCCTCCTTCCCCGACCCATGCCCATTTCACTGCTCTTACCTCACCAGTAAAGTTCAGCTGTGATCCATGTAAATTCCAAAATATGCATTTCAGTGCTAGATCAGTAAAAACCTACACTACAAATTGGTCCAATTAAGTCTGCGGTAGGCTTACTAACAATAAAACTCCAAAACTTTCAGTAGAACTACAACATATGAATTTAATCAATTCACAGACTCCTGCCTGCCTTGTTATTAAGTTCCTGTCATATGAAAGGACATGTGCATGCCCACGTGCACAAACAAGGGTTTGTATTGTAGATCCAGTTCTATAAACCACTTAACTGCAACTTTAAGAGTACAGTTGTTATTTGTTCTAGGAGCATTGGTATTTCTGTTCAAAAACCACAGAGTAATGTGGAAGCAAGCCTCAAAGGAAAAAAAAGTCCACAAAGGTAGGAAACTTACTATGACTCCTTACTCATGACAGGAAGAATTTTATTAGTCTAAGTGTTAGCATGGTACTTAAACAATTCAGGCATGAATGAAAATCCCTTTTCTACTAGGTTCTTCACTAGTAGAAGACAGAATGCAGTAGTATCAAACAGCTGAAGCAAGATTACATGAAAGTTTTAGAGACAACTCAGGAAATTACCTGTCAAAATCCATAGCCTTCTCAGTTGCGAGGGGAACTCTACAAGAGAAGAAGTTACTGTTTAGTGTTAAGTCAGTCTTACTCACTGAATGGAACCTGCAGGTCAATAATTTTAAGTACTGAACAGAACTCTAAAAAGACATTTTATAGAAAAAAAAATTAAAGTAATTTGAAAGTAAAATAAAAAGTGATTAAAAACTCAATTAGATTGGTTAAAGAAACTTCCTCTGTTGATTACCAATCATTAACAAAGTTACTTCCATAAAATAAATATAGTTGAAAAATTAAATGCTGTATTTTCTCAATTTATAACTGAAGGAACAAACCTGACAGTAAAGTTATTCTACTGGTGGTGGAGTTGCGTGCACATGTGTCTTCTGTGTGTTCTTTGCAACTGGATCTACTACTGAAGTCTCAAAAGAACACTTTAAAAATCTCAGTGCAAGGTTCCTTATGTAGAAGCAGACATTAGATTTGGCAGCCACCTCTAAGATGCTGATCGAACCACTTGATTTCTCTATCAGCTGCTCAACCAGTCTGAAATTGTCACAGTTCAACTGGGCCATTACTGCTTAAAAGCTAAAAAGACATGTTTGATTATCTAACAAGTTATGCCACACTTATAAGGAATTACATAAAAAGCTTACTCTAGTCCATGCTGCGTGTCACGTTTTCTTTTTTTCCTTTTTATTTTCACATCTGGTATTTTCTGTTTTCTCCTTGCTGTGTCCTGCTCAGAAGAGCTGTCAGATTCACTTTGCAGCTCAGTGTTCTCAGGGTCTGAGCAAACATCTTTACTGGTTCTGCCATGAATCTTTTTGGGCGTCTCCTCTGGAGACTTCACTGACAATTGTTTCTTCTCAGATTTCTTTATACTGTCTAAGAGCTGCTGTAGTAGTGATTTTAGAGTTTCGTTATTTTCATCACCAAGTGACTTCAATGCACGCACCACATTTTCAGGCTTTTCAGTTGACTTCTGAATATTGGAAGTCTGCAATTTCTGATTCAGGGGTGTGGTAAATACTTCATTTGATTTTACACACTCCCTTTCAAGCTCTTCACCAGGTTCACTGTCAGAACTCTCCTCTTTTTGTAACTGATGTTTTTTACTACTACTTTTCTTGCCAGATTTTGTAGGCTTCTTCCTCGGACTTTCTGCCAGTCTCTCAGCTACTGCATCTTTCAGAGGTTTCCGCTTACAATTTTGTTTCTTGTGAACTGAATGCAGAGAAGATTTTGAAGCTGACTGCCGATTCCTGGAAGACTTGAGATTCTTTTTTGGAGATGCAGGCTGCTCCTGCTGATGCCCAGCTGAGTGGACAGGAGAATCCTTACTTGGCGTCGCTCTTGTTTTACCTTGTTCTGCACCAGGTGGGGTTTTTTTCAGTTCAGGCTGTGGCAACATCGGTTCTTCATCATCTTTTTCCAGTTCAGGCTGTGGCAACATCAGTTCTTCATCTTCTAGTTTCCAGGACGTGCCCTTTTTCCGGTTTTGAGAGTCTTGACTAAGTGCATTCTTTTTACTCTTTCCTGTCAATACACAAAGCACTTAAGACATTTTTTCCCATTAAATCTCAAGATTATGTTGACATCTGAACACATAAAAATAAAACAAACAAACAAAAAATCAAAGTACCACAAACCCAGATTTTTCCCTTATGGTTATAAGAAGGCTTTCTCTGAACTAGAGTGTAGGACAAATTCAAAACACAATTTTTAGTGGTTTTCCAATATATCCTAGCAGAAGCAAAGGCAGAAAGACATTCAATCTGCTTTCCAGTTTTCAGTGCTACCTGCTACAAAATCTTTCACAAATAATTCCTAAAAATTGATCCCCTTCACTTCAAAGCACTTAATCTCATTTCTACAGAGGAGCAAAAGCTTGTGGGTACCTCCCTTCTTTGCCTGCTCCAAAGAAAAGGCAACACTGACAACTGAATTGTAAATGCCCTAACAGGACAGATTTGGGCAAGGTGGAGGAAGGAGTGCACACAGTCTTGTCTCATTGCCTTATATAGAGCCAAACCTAACTGCAACTGAAGCATCAATTAGGAAGCAATTACATCTCTCATCTATTTTATCCTTATTTCCCAACAAACCACCACCACAAAATCCAGTAGTATGACTTGGAAGAAGTCTGAAGACTTGCTAAATAACTTACCCCTAGGAGTACTGTTTTGCCTTCGAGATTTAAGGGCCTTTTCTTTACTGTCAGAGACTGGATCTGATTCTGATGTTCCTCTGGAGTCATGTATGCTGACACTCCCACCATCCACTTTCTCTTTAGTAAGTGCTTTAACCTTTGCTTTTGTCTTCTTGCCTTTCTTACATTCTGTCTTATTTTCAGAGGGCTGAAATTTCGAAACAGATGTTGCAGAACCAGCTGGCTTTGGGGTTTTGCTCTTACGCGGTATTGAAAACCAAGAGTGGGATACATTGTCTGATTCATCAATTATAAATTCACATTCATCTTCTGTATCTTGATCATTCATAGGAGGAGTTGACGGTGGTGATGCTGAGGTTGAAAACCTAAAGAAAGGGGGGACAAAGTATTCGCATCATTTGGGGAGGAATCCACTTTCAATTTTTCAAGTCTAGTGTTGACTCTAGAACACCCGAACACAGTACAGGCAACTCCTTGGAAGAATTACTACAAAGTTCACCATACATTGCCCTTTACCTTCCAAATAGAACATAAGGCCTGATTCTCTCCTTGCTTTGCCCTCATAATCACACCTCATTATTTCTCAGATGCTGGACAGTCAACTTTGTATCTAACTGGTAAGATCCATATTAGCTCTGAAAGAGACTGCTTGATCACTCCCATCTTCACAATCACACATAAGGTTTCCCTGAATCCTCCAATTTACCTATGAGAACATCTCAGGCTCAGTCTGAAACACTGTTTAACTGCTACACATTATTTGACTTGCAGACAAAAGGAAGAGCCTTGTTAAATTCTAACAGCATCGATCTTTGGGAAAAAAAAAATTCTAACCCTTTCTCAATTGGCAGTTTTCAGTAATGTTGGACTATCACAAAACACTCTCCCAGAAAACATTTGTAGATAAAACAATACCTCTCCACTACTCAGGACTGGGTTATTTTCCTAGCAAATTATATTTCATATTAAGCCTCAAAACAAACCTTTTTGCATGTGTTCCTGTTGCTACAGCTGAAAAGACAAACGAACAGAACGGCTTCTTTTTCCGTACAGAAGACGTAGCGGCACGTTCCCTTTGTTGCGTGCAAACAGCCCGCTCATCTCTCCCATTCCGTGATCCCTCCACACTTCCAGCTTCCACATGGCTCTTCACTGCGGCAGGAGTATCTTGGGCATCAAAATGTAATCTATGTATGAGAAAAAACATTCAGAGCTATAAATCCCCAATGCACATCCAGGTGGGCAGATGCTCTTGTTTTCTCCTGCTGACAGTCTCTCTTCTCATGTACGACCTTCCATGTGGGAATTTGCTGTAACACAGGTCAGCAGCACTACTTCCCAGCACAGTAGCGAGCGTCCAGATCGGTGAGGTAACATTGGGTCAAGTTTGTGACTCTTGATCAAAATGAGGCCTGCTTGGCAAGACAAATTCCTGAGGATAATGTGCCTCAGAAGTTGTCACTCTATCAGTAGGAGTTACAATCTCACTCTGTCAGTGGGAGTCAATGGGACAAGCGTCAATCCCTCTCTATGACCCACCCTGGAGATCTAGTCCTCCAGGAAAGCAGAACTGTGGCTGGGACCACCGGCCACTCTTGTAGGTGGGTTTCTGGTTTTCCAGAGAGGAGATAACCATCACAACTGAAGTTGTTCCACTTTGTATGAAACATTTGTATATTCAGAGCAAGAGGAACAATGAAAGCTCATCTCTGCTTCAACAATTTTTCTGTGAACTTTTAAGGTCAACACTGCCAACAGGATTCACTGAAAAAGTCTAAACTATCTGAGAAGCTGATAACTTTGGGCTCTTTCCTGTGAAAAAAGGAGTTCACGTCTGTTCTGACAGGGGTCCTGCACTTGGGCATTGCACTCCTGGGAATTAACCTGTATCACCAGAACATTTAATAAAAAAGTTCTGCTCTTTCTAAACTCAGCTATGGAAATTTTCTTTAAAAAAAGCTTGGAATTATTTTCTATAAGTTCATGATCTAAACTCAAATGACTGAAAACACCATGTTAATTTACCCTAAGGGTTGAGGGAATGGAACGGACAACATAGGGGACACCCCACACTGAGCTCTACTTACTTAGCTACAGGAGAACTTTCCACTTTCTCTGTAAGAAGAGGTGCTTCAACAGACTCATGATCATCCTCAAGGTCTGAAGACGTGGCAGGAACTGTGCATAGTCCTCCAACATCATTTAATATATCTAGTACTCCTTTAGACACAGGAGACTTTGGTTTTTTAGAAACTACTATGTCATCAGGTATTGCAGGCTTCAGAGGTGATTCATGTGAGTATCCTGCCATATATATAGAAGAGGTTTAATTCTTCCACCTGAAACCTTAAAAAATCCCAAGAAACAGTTACCCCCCCAAAAATAATAAGAGTAATAGTGCTACCAACCTCTGCTGCTCACTGTTTTCAGTGGTGATGCAGATAAGGACTCTGCAGAATTACAGGCTATTTTCACAGAGTTCGTTAACTCTGCCTTCGGCTGTCATAGTTAATAATGAATGAGATCAAGTAAAATATTTGATAAAGCAACAGCACTTTGACAGAAACATAAATTTCTAGAGAACACAAAATCATTTCCTTCCCTTAATTCTTACTCATTTGAAACACACTTCTATTTTAACTAAACACATCAATTTTCTATCATGTTAAGACTTTCTAAAACTAAATTTCAAACAACAGGTAAAACAGTGAGGACAGTAAAAATCAACTTGAAGCTTTAAACAGACATCCTGCTAACCCACAGGCAACCCACTTACTCCTTTCATTAGAATGAATTTATTTTAACAACTAAATTCACCTTTATTAAGTCAGGCTGAGGTTTTGCAAGAATTACTTTGAGTTTACATGGTGTTCTAACATCAGACTGAAGTAAACAATCACCGTTATAAAGGATGTCATTAATAGAATACCCTGTTTCTACAAAAAAGCAACTAGAATCAAAATTTTAAAACTAAATATACAAATCAGATTATTTGTGTCATTCTCAGCACGTTAGTAGTACTTCAACGTGTTTCCACTCTTCAACAAAGCTGCAGGCATAAGTCACTGTGCAGATAACTTTATCAGGAGTTGATGAACTGTTTGTATACAAGAATCATTTTTCAATTTTACTATCCATCAGACAGCTAAGAGCTGCGTTCATATATCTGGCAAAGTGACTGAAACTAACCCCACTGGAGTACAAGACAGACACACCCATCACCAGCTATAGGCAGCGTGCTTCAATCCAAGACCATGTGAAATTTAACTATCTTGGACAAAAAGCTTTCATTACCAAAAACATAAGAAAATGAGCTATTAAATAAACCTCATTATATAATATTTACTATTGGAGCACAACAAACTACGAAGAAAGCATCACCAGCAACTATCACAGAAGGTTAAATTTTAGCCTATATACAGACACTACTGCAAGTGACACATGAAGTTGATTGATTTAACACTCCTACTGATCTAAACCCTACAGAACTAAACTTGTCCCCAAGTGAAACTGTGCCCAGTTGCTTCGCTACAACACTGCCAGAACTAACTCACCCCTTGGTTCTCTATGGAAGCCCTCCTTCCGTTTCTGTCAACAGGAGTTAAGCAACAGGTCGCTCTTGGAGAGTTTATCGTAAGATCGCTGCCACAATCTATAAAGAAAACAACTATAATTAAGGGATTCTTGGAACTGTCCAGTTTTCACTCATTTTAACAAGCTGCTACGGCTTGTTAAGGTCACGTAAATCCAAACAAGAAAGAAATCGGGTACTAAAGAAAAAAGATTATGTTCGTAAGACAGTTAAGACACAGCTTCAAGAGGCTGAGAAGTGGGTGCTTTTAAAGACTGTGAGAAAGACTTTATTTTTGTCCATTTTATCTCTACTTTCTTACTTCTCTTTATTTACCACTAAATATAATACAATAATTTCTTTAAGCAGCAAATCAAGCAAAACATCAGAAAAAAAGCTTACTTTCAAAACAATCCTGTACAAGTTTCAGTATGTTTTGACCTGGCTGTATATCAATCTTCCTTCTAGAAAGAAGAGAGGGAGAAAAAAATATTTTCAATCAAAAATACTAAATGTTCCAGCAATATAAAAGCAATGAAGTTCTCACTACTTAATATTTTAGATTAGTATTTCCACTAGTCCCAACCTGAACATATTTTACCTACCACTTCCATGCACAGGTATCTGCAAAGAAACTTGTCTAAGTAAGGATATCAGGAGAAAAAGCCCCACTACCATAGAATGAGAATGAAGAAATTTCTCTACATAAAAGAAGACATACAACTACTACAACAGCCCTCAAGCTAAAGAGCTTTAGGACATATAGAGACTCTCTTTGGAAATAAATATTTTTTTAAAAAAAATCAGTCCTCAAGTAATGTTGCCTGCACAGCAGATCCAGTTTTAGCAAACCCAGAAACAAAACGTGTGGGCTGCCCATCTAACCCTGCATTCAGTGAGTCACCCTCTGCTGCTCTTTCTACCGCCTATCCACAGATATTCTGTGCTTCCACTAACGTTTCAGCAGCAAGAACTGGCTTGAGGCATCAAATCTGTAAGCAAGAGAGCAGCTCAGCTGCCTGGGTTACTGTTCAAGTCTCTCTCCTCAGTGCAAATGAAAATTGCCAGTGATCCACTAGCCAGATCATATTGATCAAAACCAAAATAACAAGAGAAAAGCCAGAGTATTTCTCTTCTTTAAAAAACAGGTAATTTGGTAGATCCGGTGCACTCATGAAATGGATGTTGAAAAATGGATTAAGAGAAAAGCCAGAGTATTTCTCTTCTTTAAGAAACAGGTAATGTGGTAGATCTGGTGCGCTCATGAAATGGATGTTGAAAAATGGATCCCAGTAACAAAATGCTGATGGACTTTCCAATATGCCTTTAATGAAAGCTAACGCACTGCAAATACTCAAGAGTCATCTCTAACATTTACCAGCAAGGGTCCAATAAGCTAGAACTCTGCATGGGCTTAATTTCTCTACCTCTTGATAGGCAAAATGTTTGCAGGTAGCCTAGTTACAGGTAGCTTGGGTATAACTGCACTACAGTCTGTTGCCTCAGCAGAGGAATACAAAGGAAATCCCTGGTGCTTTGCCTCCCAGCACAATTTGCTCCTTCAACCACTAAGATATACAAGAAGTTTGAAAAACATCATATGATCAATTTAGTAAGAATCACTCCGAAGTTTTGACATTAAGCTCTTGGACAAAAACCAACATATGTTTACAAACAACTGTATCTAAGAATAAAATTTTAAATGTAACTTACCTTCCTCCATGGCAGAATCTTGTTCTGTAGTCTTTTTTGAAATTATTCTGTGAAGGAGTAAGAACAAATCTTTTAATAAGCACAGTGACACTCCACAGGAAAACAAATAAGTGACTAAACTCCTGCTTCCTTTGTAAGCAAGTCTTGAGGCTTCTCGAGCCATCCAAAACTGGTGGGAGTTACTGTAGCCCTGTTCTTCTTAGAAAGCTGCAGTAGCTAAAACCCCTGTAACAAATGCCAGAAATTCAGCCTTTCTCAAGAACCACTCACAGAGAATCTAAGAATTTGGATAACATATCTGTGGTGACTACTGAAATAACCTTTTAAGAAAGGAAAACGGAATGAACTACCACGAAGCAAGCCAGGACATAACCTTACAGAGCATCTGCTGCTCTGCCAGAACTGCTCACATGCAGATTCTCACCCTGTGTTTATCACAGACAAAAGCATGGGGACAGGCAGTGAGAGAAAGTCAGATGTTCCATGGTAAAAGTAAACTCTCAATTAACTCCCAGCACTACTTCATATATCTGAACCATGAGTATACTCCAAGTAATTTGAATAGCATCCAGTCATCTATTACCACAGCCAAAGTACTAGTAGTTCAAATAACAGAATCATAGAATGTTAGGGGTTGGAAGGGACCTCTGAAGATCATCTAGTCCAACCTTCATCCCAGCATACCTAACCACTACACCATAGCCTCAAGTGCTAGATCTTTTCTGAACACCTCCAGGGTTGGTGACTCCACCACCTCCCTGGGCAGCCTGTTCCAGTGCCTCACCACTCGTTCAGTAAAGAACTTCCTCCGAATATCCAATCTAAACTTACCCTGACGCAACTTGAGGCCATTTCCCCTTGTCCTGTCATTAGTACTTAGAGAGAAGAGACCAGCACCAGCCTCACTACAGCCTCCTTTTAGGTAGTTGTAGAGGGCAATAAGGTCTCCTCTCAGCATTCTCTTCTCCAGACTAAACAAACCCAGTTCCCTCAGCCACTCTTCATAGGGCATGTTTTCCAGACCTCTCACAAGCCTTGTTGCCCTTCTCTGCACCCGCTCCAGCACCTCGATGTCCTTCTTGTACTGTGGTGACCAAAACTGGACACAGTACTCGAGCTGCGGTCTCACGAGTGCCGAGTACAGGGGCATGATCACCTCATCAGTGCTTCTTTCTATGCCGGCAAATGAAATAAAGCCTGCTGAGCTGGGAACAGGCAGAGACCTCAGAGGATAAAACCAGGCAGTTCAAGAAAAACCAAACTGCAAGCATAGTGCCGTTTTTCACCAGCATGAACTATTTTCACCATTTGAGAAAACGTCTCCAAAAAATCTAGATGTTTAGCTGAAAAACAATTACAACCCATTCTCCATTTGTGTGAACTGGACGACAGTGTATGTGCAGCGCAGAGAAGACCCAGTTCTAATACCGCAGGATTCAGCACATCTTTCCTAAGTTTGAAACGCTGACGTTATTTTGCACTTCTTTGTGATTCCTCTTTGGATATTACTTCCAGTAATAAAACCAGCCAGAACCACGGAAGGATTGATGCCAGTGCAAATTTTCAACCCCGGCTTAAAACGGCAGGAAAAAAAAAACACCAAAAACCAAAAAACCAAAAACCCCTCAGGTCACACGGGAAAAGGACTGACCCAAAAAAGTCACAGCTTGAGAAACAGTGCCGACCCCTGCTCCACGGCAAAGCGGTCGCTCGGGCTTAAACTTCTTCCCCTTGCAGCGAAGTGCAGCAGAATCAACTGGCAAGAAAACTTTCCTATTAACAAATGAAAAAGAATCCCTTTGACGGATCTAAAGAGGCTTTTAACACTTGTGTTCACCGTTAGGGTCGCAGCCCGCAGCTGCAGGCTCCCCACAGACAAGCCCTCAAGAGACGTGTTTGTGCCAGCAACCGGGGCTAAGGGGGAGGAAGAAGGCCGGGGACCCCTGGAGCCTCAT